CATTTTATATACAGATCATATATTTCTATATTAGAGAAAATGAAGACAGAATCGACTATAGAGGAAAATTGTATGCAGCAAGAATAGCCATATCGGGAACAAGAAAGCTCTCTCATGCCTCTTATCTACAACATAAATGAATGAAAATTGAGAAGGAAAAATAAATAGAAAAAAAACTCTTTGTCTTGATGATTTATCTATTACTTTCCAACATCTAAAGAACACTAGGAAAACAGGTGTTTCGATCACAATCTGTGAATGCAAATGGATTCTGTATTCTCACTTGATTATGAGATGAAAAAATAGCAGGAAATTTGAAATTGTGCATGCAAAAAGAGAAAGACAACAGTGAACTGGGGGAGGAAGTGTTCTAGTCAAGTAAGATTAGGGATCGATGTGGACAATTTTGGATCCTAAATCAATGTTAGGGAAAACTGTTTAGGACATTTCAAAGAACTTACATGAAAAGCTTATCGGTTTTTGTATAAATGCAATAAAACAATAAAAAAGGTATTAAATAAACAAAAATATCATGAGATAGTAAATAAAAATAAGACAAAGATATTGAAAGTATCTGAAAAAATAAAATTGAAACCCATGTGTACACCTGTAAAAATATCACAACAAAAAAAAAAGTTAAGGTAATAAAAGTCATATTTAACGAAAAAATCTTAAAAAAAAACATTAAGATTTAAAAATATACAAAGTCATAAACATACTGACTAATTTGTCTAGCATCAATTAGATATAAGAAGTGATTGACTACAATAATAATCGTGAATCTTGACGATAAAAGGTATTAAAGAATCTAAATTGGAGGAAACAAAGAGCAAAAAGAGAAGAGTACCATAGTCAAATTTTAGACTATTTTAGCTAGTGAAAATGGAGTTTTTAAAAAATTGAAGTTATAAGTTTTAGATTTAGATCTAGACTTTTTCTAGTTGATTTTGAAAATTCTAACTCAATAGATGTGAATAAAAAATTAAGAGGTGGTTGGAGGTATTTTTTATGAAAATCCATTGTTAGCAAATGACAATCGAAGATGGATGAATAGTAAAAGAGAGTATACCAATTTTCTTTTTAAAGGATTGTGGGAAAGTTAGGAGGTAAAAAAGTTTAAAGGGTGAAAGACAAGAAAGAAAATGAAAGAAAAGAAAAAATATAAAATAAAATTTTTTTCTAAGAAGGACATGCATGTGATTCACCAATTCATCACCTATCATCATCACCTCAAATCTCAAATATGTTATTAGAATTACGTTACCCTTCACTTGCTACCATCATCTTAATCATTTTTTATACTATCATCTCAATCATTTTATTAAAAAAGATTTTTAAAAAAAGTGAAGCAATTGAAAAGATCTAAGATGAACACAATCAACATTAAAAAGAAAAATGTACAACCTTTCTTTTATATGGATGAAATACCTTAAATTCATTTCCAATTCGATTTCGATTTTCCAAAAAAAATTCTCAATTTGATTATGATTTTTTTAAAATTGCATTTATATTGAATCTAGACAAATCAAAATTAATCGGATATAGATTGTTTTATCATACTTACTTCCATTAATTTTTTCTTTACAAAATTTATTTAATAAAAAATAATGTCAAAAAATAAATAAATATGGAAAAAAATATAATTTTAAAGAAAGGATATGCCACGTGGACATCTTCTCTTATATTTATTAACTTTTTTGTTACATAATTTATCTTAAAAAAGTAAAAAAAAAAATTTCATTAGATACGGATTATTTTGTCATTCTTATATTCATTAACCTTTTTTTACATGATTTTTCTTAAAAAGTAAAAAACAAATAAAATTAAATTAAATAAAAATTAAAAATAAAAGGCTTAAAAAAAGAAAAAATCTAAGAAAAAAAAGTAAAATAAAAATAAAATAAAAAGAAAACAAAAACATTTAAAAAATAACACAATTTTTTAAAAGAAAGAAGAAGAATGGTGGTGCCATGTGGATACCCCACTTGCTTTCAAATCTCTACAGAATTCATATTATGGATTTTACTCTAAAGACTATATTTATAATTATAGAAATGTAGCATTTTGTGTTTGTAATATCAACTAAATAATGCGTTTTTAATTTTAAAATGTAGTTTTTGGTGAATTTTTTTAATTAACGATTACATTTATATTTTTAAAAATGTAATTTTTGTAAAATATATTTTTTTATAAACATCAACTAAAGATTGCATTTATAATTTGAAAAACATATTTTTTGATATATTTTTTAAATTAATTACTATATTTATACTTTTAAATTGAGGTGCTTCGGGTCTCATCTGCTATCATCTTACCTTCCCAATAACTATTTTATCATTTCACATATTAATTAATAGTCTTAAAAAAGCAAAAGTGATAATGAAAAGTGTAAGTCAATGAATCTCACCAAATCTTCTTCTTTTACGTTTTCAAGAATTTTTTTACAACAAAATACTACAAAAGCTACCTTTCTTACATAAGAAAGATAATCTTTGTGCACCAAAATCTCACAAAATATTCTCCTTTTACTTTTCTAAGAACCTTTTTTTTCAAAACAAAAAACTAATAAGATTTCCTTTCTTATGTAAAAGACATAGTCTTTACGCACTAAAGCAAAAATGATAAAAGAAAATGTAAGTCAATGAATCTCACCAAATCTTCTCTTTTATTTTTACAACAAAAAAACTACAAAAACTACTTTTCTTATCTAAAAAACATAGATAAAAAACATAGTTTTTGTGCACCAAAATCTCACAAAATCTTCTCATTTTACTTTCTTAAGAATTCTTTTTAGAACAAAAAATAAAAAACAATTATAGCTGAGAGCTTATGAAAGCAATATATCTTTTCTTTTTACTCTCAATATCACATTAAAAATACGGTCCAACAAATAAATATGGGTAAGAGCTAGCTTTGACTTTACAAAAAACACTTTGTCTATATAAGAAATGTGGTATTTTGATTGTATTAAAAAATTACGTATCGAAAACAAAAATTATGGTATTTGTTAACTTTTTAATTACATTTTTTCATGTCAAAATATGATTTTTGCTAATTGTTCGTATCAAAAACCTTTCACCTACCATTTTTTCATTTTCTCTTTGGTTAAATTAAAGAACAATTACCTCTTTTTTTAAGATATTTTTAAAAAATAAAAAATAAAGATTAACAAAAAAAAATAAAGGTGCTATATAACACCACTAATGAAAAGTCTTATACCATATACATTTATAAAATTTATCTTATGAATTACAAAAGTTTAGAGATATGACTTTTCAGTGAAAAAATAAAAAGTGATAGGAAGTTTTAGATAAAAAAAGGTTAATCCAAATTGCAAAAGGTAAAAACCATGCATGTATATTTTTTAGCAAGAAACATTGAATGGGAATTGTAAGTTAGAAAAATTTTTACAAGGCCACAATTTAAGTTAATAGATTATAAATATTAAATTTTCAATTTTAAATTTAATATAAAAATAATTATATAAATTAACTAAACTAAATTTTTATTTGATAAGTAAGATGCTTTCCAAATTAGAGAGTTTGTAATTATGTTTAACAATACACTTACCATACATAGCAACTCTGAGTGGTAGCCATTAGCCACCAATTTTCAGTCTTTATCGCACTGCTAAGGGATATGGTGGGACCCTATGAAACTTTCCATTTTTACATGCATGGACATGGCTTGCCTATGGCTATGTATTCAACCTATATCAAACGAATTGAAAATTTGCTTATTTCCTTAGCCTATAAAAGGAAATGGCTTGACTGTTTTGGCCATCTCCTTCGTTACTTTCGGTGATACCCCTATTGTTAGATACAAGTTAACACGTTGAAAAGACATCTATATAATGAAAAGTTTAATTTAATTAATTTAATTAATTATTTTTAGAAATGATATTTAATAAATTTAAATTTTAAAATTTTTTTAATTTTTATCAAATTATGATTATATAAAAAATATATATTTTAATTCTATTATTCAAAAAAGCAAGGATGGTAAATTCACTCATTAAAATTATCAAATTATTTTAGGTTTCTCATTTTTTAAAATATTTTTATAATTTATCAAGTTGATATAACTCATGTTAAGTATGAAATTAAATCACAAAATGCTAAATGTAAAAAACAATAATAAAAATATGAAAGTTGAAAAACTTGAAATCTCAAAATTATAAGTGATATAATTTACGCTATCATCAACTATCAAGCGGGGCCAGATTGGGTCTAGGTGTGGGTTAACCGACATAAATAAGTTGCGTAATCATAATTAGATTTTAAACAATTTTTATAAATAAAAAAATATAAAATTTTATATTTAAAATTTAAATTTATTAAATATTATGTTTTAAGATCATATTTAATATATAAAATTATAATAAAATAAAATAAAATAATATTATAAATAAAATTAGATTAAATAATATTATCGTATGTTTTTTTGATGTATATAAGAAATATGATAAAATAATATATTTATTTGTTAAAATTATTCTTTTTTCAAATTTATATAATTTAAAGTATTGATATAAGTTTTAAAAATATAATTAGATATATAAATTTAATCTCATAAATTAAAAATAATTTTCTCTAAGTAGAGAGGATGAAATAATTATATGCAAAAAGAATATTAATTTTTCTTACAATTTTTATTCTTCTTTTTAAATTTAAATCAAGCATGATATAAAATGATTATCATTTTATCTTATTAATAATTTTATACATTAAATATGACCTAAAAATAATATATCAATTAGTTTTAAATTTAAAATTTAAAATTTTTAAAATAAAGGTTGAATCCTCATTTTATATAAAATTTAAATTTATGTAATAAATCTTACTTCTTACTCAGTTTTTTTTTTATAATTTTACAAAAAATAAGATTTTTAAAAACTTTATGTATTTAAATTTTATTATTAAAAAATTTAGAAAAATTGTAAATAAAAAAAATCATTTAAGACATTGAAAAAAAAAAGAAAAAAAAACTTAAACTGAGTCGGCGAGAATAGATGTTTACACGAAACCAGAAAGAGCAAGAAAGTGAGAAACCATTGATTTGTGCATCCTGACTAAAGGAGTGTTTCCACTAATTTGCGGTGCCTTGGTAACAAAGCGTTCATAATCTTGTAGTCGAAGACTAATTTATTTATAGAACTTTGCGTGTACAGAAAGAAGATCCAAAAGAAGGAATAATGTGATAAACAGCAGCCGAATTACAAATTCCCAAGTGTACCTTCACCAGCAAACAGAAACCCCAATTCCAGCCTACCTTCACACTTTTTTTTTCCTCTTTCCTCAGGGTTTTTCTTCCTATAAAATAATTTGGAGTGGTCTTTGGTACTGTTTGATCAGTCTGAAGAAAAAAGCAATGGCGAAATTAATTGTTTCAGCAGTTCTGGAGAAGTTGGGTTCCCTGATAATGATACCCGATGAGATAAAACACAAAGTTGGGGTGGCTCTGGGTCTTGAAGAAGAAATCCGAAAAATGACCGCCAATTTTCAGGATATTCAATCGCTTCTTCAAGATGCAGAAGCAAAACAGGAACGACGAGTAGGCTAATGGTGAGAAGAAAATCGAAAAAATAAAAAATTAATTTAAAATTATAATGTTCTGTTTGATGCATATCAGTTTTTTTTTTTATTTAGTTTGAATTAAATTAAAAATATTTATATATTATTTTGAGATAGGATTTCAGATTGAAAAATAAAAAATAAAAGGGTTTGAATAAAACAAATTATATATTTTTATTATTTTGTATATATTTTTTAACATTTTTATAAATAAAAATAATTATTTTTTATGTAAATTTATTTAAATATATTAAAATTATATTAAAATAATATATATAAATTAAAAATTAAAAAATCATTAAATTAAATCAAATTAAAATAATAAAATTTAATTCGAATTCGATTTCAAAATCTATAAAAGTTGGATTCGAATTTAAATTAAAATTAAAATTTTATAACTATATATATTATTCAAAAAAATGAAAACATATGAAAATTTGATTCAAATTGAAATTTAAATTTAAAATTTAAAATTTTATTTATTATTCAAGTAAATAAAATATGATTCGCTCCGAATTATTATCATCTTTTAACATTATCTACTTTGTCAGATGGGCTATTTAGATACTTTTCTTCTGATTTTGTTAAAAAATTATTGAATTTGAAATCCTAGGATAAATCTTGGGTTTAAAATTGAAGATTTTAAACGATATAAGAATTGAGGTGGAAGTAAAAGTGTGCTTATAAAGTGTTTAAAAAAAATAAGTGCACTTAAAAATTTTAAATGTCTAATATTGTTGTAAAAAAGTATCATGATCAAATATTTAAAAAGATATATAAAATATTAAAATATTAAAAAGATATAGAGATAATATAGTAATTTTTATTTTAATCTGCATTTTTTTCATTTCAAAAGTACTTTCTAAAGAGTTTTTCAGTTTGAGTTTGTAAATTAGAAAACTTGTGTGTGTGTGTGTGTGCGCTTAGCATTGAGGTTAGATAAAAAGTAGTTTTTAAAGGCAAAATCTACTTTCAACAGGTAAAACTAGTCTAAATCAACAACCAATTCACAATCTTAAAACTTGGAGTTGACCTTTTCAATAATTTCCTAAAATAATTCCCAATGAAAGAATGCATTCTTTTTATGATAAAATGCTTTTTTCACTTGAATTCAAGTCGGAACATATTCTGTTTTGATTCCATTGTGTCTAGTGGGACAGAATTTCGGACTAAAAGTATTGGGCTGTATAAAATTGTTCATTGAATATATACTTGGGATGCTGATACATTTGTAGATCTTATCTTTGCCTTCAACAGCTAAAGGATGCCAATGTGAGCAATCGGTGAAAGAAACTCAAAGATGTTGCCTATGACGTTGATGATGTGTTGGATGAGTGGAATACTGCAAAACTCCAATCACAACTGGAGAAAGAACAAAAAGAAGTTGAAGATTTTCCCTTGCTTAAGAAGATACGCTACTCTCTCTCTTTTTTACCTCTCGAAGTTTTCTATACTATAATGTTGCTTCAAAGATAAAAGACTTGAATAAACAACTTGAGTGTATAAATACTGACAAAGATAGGTATAAATTTGGGTTAGAGAAGGTAGTTGAAGAACCCGAAAGGCAAATAACTTCCTCTTTCATAGATGAAGAAGAAGTTTATGGTAGGTGTCAGGAGAAAACGATTCTAGTGAACATGTTGGTGGGAGAGAATAGTAATGGAGGAGGTTCGAGCTTGCAAATCATCTCTCTAGTAGGGATGGGAGGAATCGGAAAAACGACACTTGCTCAACTGGTTTACAATCACAACGAGGTTGAATGTTATTTTGACAAGAGACTATGGATTTGTGTCTCAGATCCTTTTGATGAGATAAGAATTGCCAAAGAGATCCATGAAGCATTTAAAGGCGAAGCTTTGAATTTAGTTGGAAAGGATTACATGTTGCAGCAAATTCGTAGTCATGTTTTGGGGAAGAAAATACTCCTTGAGTTGGATGATGTGTGGACTGAAGATGCTACAAAATGGGAGCAACTGAAAATTTCCCTCAAGTATTGCTCTCATGGGAGCAGAGTATTGATAACCACTCGTAAGGAAAAATTTGCCATAATTATGGGAACAGCGACGGCAAACGTATTTTCATTACATACCTCGTCTCAAGAGCAATGTTGGTCATTACTTAGTCACAGAGCATTCTATGGGAGGACAAGAGATGAGTGTGAAAATTTAGCAGATATTGGCAGGAAAATTGCAGAAAAGTGTCAGGGCTTGCCACTTGCTGCAAAGATTCTAGGTGGTCTGCTCCGGTTCAAAAGAACTAGAGAACAATGACAAAGTATCTTGAATAGCGAAATATGGAGCCTTGAAGAGGCTGAACGAGATCTTTTCCCTCCCTTATTTTTGGGTTATTACGAGTTACCTTGGGCTCTTAAGCAGTGCATGTCATATTGTTCTGTTTTTCCGAAAGATAAGATCTTAAACAAAGATGAATTGATCAAGTTGAGGATGGCAAAAGATTACCTGAAGGGAGTGCAATGCGAAGAGATGGATATTGTTGGTGGGGAATATTTTGATGAGCTAATGATGTGTTCTTTTTTTCAGGATTTTAAAAGGTCTGAACTTCACAGTGGTATTACGGAATTCAAAATGCATGATATAGTACATGATTTTGCTCAACTTTTAATGGAAGCCGAATGTTTGATGCTACGAAATGATGGTTTTGAAGAGCAGAGAGTATACTTTTTTGAAAAGGCTCGCCACGTAACATTGATCCGTAAAGAAGCTGTACCAATAGTCCCTAATATTTACCATTTAAAAAAGTTGCGTGGCCTCCTTATTGACTCAAGCAATCATGATACTTCATCACTAAGCACATCACTGCCCATGTTGTTTGATTAATTGACTTGCCTAAGAACATTAGATTTGAGTAACAGTTTGTTTGGAAATTCAATTGAAGAACTTCCTGATCAAACAGGAAATTTGGGTCATTTTAGATACCTTAACATGAAACAAAATAGAAAATTGAAAAAATTACCTGAATTAGTATGTGGGTTATGTAACTTACAAGCCTTAAACCTCACATGGTGTGATAGTCTTAAAGAATTGCCGTTTGGAATTGGAAAACTAACCAACTTGAGGCATCTTGAGAATGAGCAAACAGAGTTTAGCTTGAGGACAATGCCAAAAGGAATTGGGAGATTAACAAACCTTCGGACGCTAAAGGTGTTCATGGCAATGCATGGTGGAATTAACAAAGAAGCATCTACACTTGGTGATCTTGGAAATTTAATGCATCTTCAAGGACATCTTAAGATAAGTGGACTGGGAGTTGTGTGTGATGTGGCTGAAGCTAAGAAAGCAGAACTTCAAAACAAGAAAGGCCTCCGCAGTTTGATACTAGATTTTACTAATTCCAAGGGGTTGATGCCAGAGAGAAAAGAAGATGAAGGACTTCTTGAAGCTTTACAGCCACCTCCTTGCTTGGAAAAATTAGAGATATGGGGCTACAGTAGCCCCACCATTGTCCCCAACTAGATGATGGGCTTGGCCAAGCTGAGGCATGTTTCGATGGGTTTTTGCTTTCATTTGAACATTTTGCCTCCTTTGGGGAAATTGCCATCCCTTGAATCACTCTATGTAGGGGAAATCAGAAGTTTGGAAAAAGTGGGAGTTGAATTTTTGGGTGTTGAAAAAGAAGAGATGTCAGCATTGTCTGCATCGTCAGAATCACCTTCATCTATTATTGCCTTTCCTAGTTTAAAACATCTCGAATTTCGTGATATGAAAGAGTGGGATTATCGGATCCCATTAACAAGCAAAGAAGAAGAGCTTATTAGTATTATGCCTCGGCTTTGTTCCCTAACAATTGATTCCTGCCCAAAGTTAAGTGCACTGCCATGCTACATTGTTCAGAATACAAGTCTAAAGCAATTGGACATAAGTCAGAGTCCTATTCTTTCAGAATGCTGCAGAAAGGAGACGGGTGGACTGGCTTAAAATTTCTCATATCCCTAGCATCATAATCGATAGTCTATGCGTGCAAGTAAACTGCTCTTCTACAGAAGAGTTTGGAGTATTGCAATTGCAGCCACTACACAGGTGTTTTTATATTTTATTATTAATATCTGTCCAATTTGCAGCACATTCAAGTGTATGGCATATTATTTGCCTAAATTTGTGGTTGAATTGTCTAAAATTTTCCTATTTCTGAAAACATTACTCCGAAACTGGCATGTGATCAGGATCTGTCTCTGATATTGTTGCCTGTTGGTTTTAAATTTTCAATGATAGCCTTACAAACACCTTTGCAGTACATTTAGTTTTAACTTCTTTACATACCTTCTTTATGATTGTATTTTAGAGATGAAGAAGATTTTCCAGCTACTATAAATTAGTTTTTAACACAAAGCTTTCTAGCAAAATGAACTTCTGATTTTTTCCTCTTGTCAGCGGGAAAAGAAAAGAAATGTTACATCAATGCTATTACATCTCTGTCTTAACTAATTTGCTCTTGCTATTTGCTTGCTTTTCTGCTCTTTGTTAAGTTCTAATGATTTCCACAAAGCGTTTCAACAAGACTGATGTGTATCAGAGGAGAGGTATGCATGAAGTATGAACTATAATTACCTTAATCTCATTTGTTATCAAACAGACATAAAATTGTTGAAGAATGTAATATTTGTTTAACCTATTTCTTTATTTTTAGCGAGCAACTTGATGTTGATTTCTAGATGGAAAATCTAATACTTATAGGTAATATTTAGCAGGTGACTTGTTTCAAGGTGCCTTTATAATTATTGAAATACATGCAATGTCACTCATGAATGCATAGTTAACCATTGGTGTTTGAGCTAGCATATGAAGCTCATATGACATCCTGGTCTATACTTTTTGATTTCAAAGCATGTGTGGAGGAAATTCCCCCATAAAATTTTTGGGTGATGCACGGAACATAGACTAGGTAATGTGGTTTTTTTAATGTTAATAATAAATAGAACTAAGTAATTACTAGTTTGGAGTTCCGGAATATGAGTTCTGAAGTGATGTTTTCTAACTACTTGCCATTGATGTTGTGTGAAGACAGGAACTGGATATTAAGTAACAAGGGATGTCAAAGAAAGGGGACTAAAGCAGGTTGCGTCAGATTTTGCTCGATGCTAGTAAAGATTGAGAGATCTCTTTGACAAGGTTATCAAAGAAGACTTATCATATATCGATCCTTCATTTCGAAAGGCTGTTGCTTCTCTAATCATCTGTCTCATTTGTAATCTTAATTTCCCATCCCGATTGCAACACTTTTATTGTACATATTTCCTTTCTTTAAGTTACATTTGATTAGTACAAAGAAGCAAAGTTATATAAAGCTCTTTGCTCTAAGAGGATCAAGAGACAAGGAAACTTTCAATTTCTTTGTTTTTAAAGGTCGGGAGTGCTTTCACTTTTGGAAGATTTGGTAATTTGTGTATCCATATTGCATTTGTTTATTGTCTAATATATGTAAAATACAAAAATTATTATGTCAAAATTCATATCAATACGTTAAATATGAAATATATTTTTTTATTTTTATCAAATTTATATATAGTTTTTATTAAAATTTTAGATTATGTATTTTTTGTCTTTTTTGTGTTGTTTTCATATAATATTAAAATTATCAAATTTATTTTTGCACATAATAAATTGGTTTACCATCTAACCTTTGAATTAAAATATCTAACAAATCTAAACCATATATATAACTTGTATTATAAATTAAGAGCCAGGTTTTTCAACCATTGAATTTAAGACCTGTTCTATCTATATTTCTAAGCAAAAATCTCAGACATGGTAGCAAGTTTTGTACTAACAAAAATTGTACTGATTATGTAATTGTGGAGCCTGGCAAGTCATTCAGAAGTTTGAACTTTTGAAGATTACTCAGAATATGTCCGAGCTTTGGTCTGAATAAGAGAATTAGACTAAATGATGTTTGTCATTTCTATAGTTTAATTTAAGATGAATTGTGCTTTTTATGCTATGGCTTTTTGACTGCAAATTAACTACATTTAGCACTTGGCAGGTGGGTTTTTATGTGAAAGACTAAGTGAATTGTGCATGATTTCTTTGGCAAAATCATTGCCATATGGATGTTACATAGGTAGTCCAAAAAAAATCCCTGCCTCAGTCCCTCTTTCATTAAATGAAATCTCCAGTACAAGAGCAATGGCTTGATTCTTGATTCCAAACCAGAGTAGAATCAAGATTGAGAGTTTGTAACCAACCTAGATAAGTTATTCACCAATTCCACCTACAACTGTAATACCTCAGCCCAAATAATAATTGAGTTAGACTAACACTAAAGTTCATCAGTTTATTAAGACATTATTTAGTAAAAAAAAAAAAGGGCTGAAGTATTAGATGAAAAAAAACTTAACTATCGTGAAACAGAAAGGAAATAGAGTTTTTCTTCTTCATCTTCCTTAAGGTTAGAGAATATGAAAAATCAAGTTGGAGATTCACAATCAAAGGCTACAATTAAGTTAATCCCTTAAAGGTGAGTACATACCCTCTTTTTATTTGAAAAGAAATATCAAGTTGATTGCTATTATTTGAAGTTGAAGTTTTGAGAGCAAAATCAAGAAAAATCATGAAATCTTTCATTAATCTTGATGATCTATTTGGATAAATTACTGGGTTTTGTTTATTTCATGTTTTTAAGATTTATTGATGATTATTGAATGAAGTTTGAAGGCTGAAAGTAAGGATTTGAGTTTTTAAAGATTGAAGGAGAAATTCTATTTTTGGATGAGATGTTGTGATCTGTAATAATGAATTAAAATAGAATTTTGTATTAATGGATAGATTATTGCTGTGATTATTATAATCATTGGAAAGCATGTTGAATCTAGTAAGATGTGTGAGCCTATACTTACTGAGCTGTGGTTTGCTCATTCCCAGTTTATTTTTTCTTTACAGATGACTAAGTGATAAGTTTGGTTAGTCTTGTGTGAAGCTAGAAGATGAAATGAGAAAGATTACTTAGTCGTCAGAGAATATGTTGGCCAATGAGATTTTAAGAGGCAGTTTTGTATTTTATATGGTTTGTCTTTGGATATATAAAGATGTATCATCAGTTGGATTAAAGATATAAATTTTACTTGGTAGATTATTTTATTGAAAAATTTTAGAATATTTAAGAAAAAATGCTTCGTATTACTTTGAGATTTTCTTCAAAATAATATGACCGTGTTACATCTTGATCACGGGGCGTGACAACAACAGTTCATGAATCTTATGCTGTAAAGGACCTTCTCACATGGACATTCTGGACACCAAGGCAAATTTTCAACAAAAAGCATGTGCATATAATAGTAGAGCACATTACCAAGTACCATGGAATGTGAATTGTCATGGAATCTATTACTAAGAATAAGAAACAAAACCTATTCTCCAAACTTTCACAGATGCCTAAAATGTTGATCTAATTACAATGGAAACCGTCAAACTAATATGTTTTTAAAAGCCATAAAACTAAGAGGTTACCGTTGGTTTGATCAAGGAGGTGAGATTGTAGAGGCTTATGATGATCATGATCAAGCAGAGGTGGTAAAGAAGATGAAGAGATGCTTTGGGCTCGTCCCGACGTGATGTGAGACATGCGATTTAACCCTTTCCCTGAGATTCTCCTTCCCCTTTCATCTCCCTCGTCGCTCGCTGCCATATCTCTCTTCCTCTCCTGCTCTTTTCTTTGTTTGCGGCTTTCAAACAAGTCTGTTAGTTATTTTGTCAGCAATTCATAAAAAAAAAAAAAAAAAACCAAAAACGGTGTCGTTTTAACCTTCTCTCTTTTTTTTTTTTTTTTTTCCAACTCTTTTATCGATTCTAAGTTGAAAATAAATAATTTAATTGAATAAGGAAATACAAATAAAATAAAATAAATCAAATAGTCTTGCAAATAACGAAAGTAATTCAATTATTAAAAAATAAAATTTAAGAATTAGTGGTTAAAAATTTTTTTCACAGCGCGTCTCGAAGATCAATACAAAGAGTTTGTTTAGGCATAATGATATTCTTTAGTACAAAATTCTATCGTTATCAAGGGACAAAATTTGAAGTGTAGACATTTTTAACTTAGCCATTTTCCATTTGATCAATATAAACAAATGTTAATTAGTAACTTTTTTCTTAAGTGAAGGTGATTTCATTAAATCAAAAGGAGCATTTCGTGTATTACAATATCTTTAATATCTTCTAGATAGCCACCATTCCAGGTCAGGGACTCTAACCTATCTACTACAATTCTTGCCAGCCTATAGGCCGCACCATTAGTTTCGCGGCGAGTATGGGAACATGGCCATTCTACAAGATGGTTTAGCTCCAGCCTTGTGTCCATCACCCGGTTTCCTACTGCAGACTGGTTTCTTCCTTGATCATATGCAATTTGTGCGACAATCCCAAGTGCATCTCCTTCCAATATAATTTTCTGGAACCCCATCATGCATGCATATTCAGCTGCTCGTACCGCCGCCATCCCCTCTATAATTTCTGGGTCTTTAATCCCTGTTACAGTGTTGCACAACGTTCCCAGGACCTTTCCCTTGCTATTTCTCCCAATGACACCTATTCCAGCAAACTTTTTTTCTTTGTCCAATGCTCCATCGAAATTAATCTTCACCGTTTCTCCATTGGGTGCCTGCCACTTGCTTGTTCGCTTTGCCTTTACCACTAGTTGTCGTTCATGCGAACGAGAATAATCCTCCATATACAAGTTCACAAATTCCACTGTTTGCTGGGTTGGTCTTAGCACTTTTTTCTTCACAGCTTCACTCCTATTTCACCGTATTGCCCTGCGTAACATGGTGACTTTGCCAATGACTCCCTGCTGGTGCTGTTAGCCAGTAGTGACAATCATTCTATCGTAGTCTTTGCCTGTGCAGTCTGCCATGCTTCATTCTTGGTACCACACTTTCACACTTTGGATGTCAATCTTATCCGTACTTAATAAAAAATTTGACATTTTACTCTAATAGGAATGAAGATGTGCATTACATTATGAGTATGGAGATTAGATGAGAATAGATATGATTTTAAATTTTTTTTAACGAATAATATAGCATCTGCCTTATACTCATATCTTACATATATATTCATATATATTTAATAAATAAATTTTTTATTAAATAATATAAATAATTTTTTTAGATTAATTAAAATTAATATATTTTTATTCAAAAAAATATTAATATATATTTATAAAAAATTACATAAATATACAAAAAAAAATTAAAAAAACCTTAAAAAAATAAATTTTAGTTGTAAATTTTTTTTAAAAAATTACGATAAAAAAATTACTCGTACCCATTAAATACTTATAAGAAAAAAGATAGAGATATATTTGAAAAACTTACTGGTTATAAGTACGAGAATAAATATAATATACAAATTCAGTAATGGGAATGTGAATGTTCTACTCTCCCCATACTCTACACATTGTCATCCCTCTTTACGTATTAACACTTTTTTATGAACACTTTTTTATGGCATGCATAGTGGTTTCATTGTGCATGTTACATCGTGGGCATGTCGCTTGATCCATTATTTCCCTGTTTTTCAAGACATCAAACACTGGTAGTAATCGTGACACAGCCTTCAAGTGAAAATCTTTACCTTGCTTGGTACCACTAAATGCCATATCCGGTTCCAAACCATATTCAAACCATTGTCAGTTGACCCTTCAGTGCTTACGTTTCTCTAGTTATAGATGCGCTCCCTTGATACCAACAAATGACATCCTCTCGTGCCATTTCTACCCCTTGTATGTAGTTTGTGTTAGGTGTGGGCCTGAAGCTTCCATCTCTTGAAATCCATTTGTCTTGCCAGACCCGAATACTCTTTCTATTGCCCATGCGCCATCTCACCCCAAGCTCCAAGACCCTTTTCTCCGTCCATTTACTCCTCTAGGAATAGGATGATATTTTGCCAAGCTCAGCTTCAAGGAAATTAGATTTGGGGAAGTACTTTAAGTACCCTGTAAACTAATGACGAGGTGTTTTGTAATAAACGTCAACCTTTTTTAGTAATCATGGCTTTATTAAATAGCTCCATGTCTCTAAATCCCATGCCACCCTTCTTTTTTCTAGTGCTCATTCTTTTCCAAGCCTTCCAGCGGATCCCTCCTTTTTTCAATGACTGCTGCCACCAATATCTACTGATGATCTTATTAATTTCATGGCATAATCCTTTTGGGAACTTGAAACATTGCATTGCATACCAAGACATTTACTGGAGCACTGACTTTATGAATACCTCTTTGCTCTCTTGTGATAACCATCTGTAGCTTTACTGTTTGATTTTCTTTTCCATCTCTTCCACAATTCCTTTAAATGCTCTCTTTTTCTCTCTATCGACAAACATTGGAAGTCCAAGGTATTTTGCAACATTTTTTGTGGCTTGTACCCCTAAAGAGTTCTTGATTATCTCCACGACATTGGCACTTGAATTTTTTTATTAAAAGTATGCCCGATTTTTCGCAATTGATCTGCTACTTCGAACCTTGTTCGTATACTTCTAGCAAGTTTCTCACGTATTTGCATTCCTCTTGGTTTGCTTTGAAGAAAAGCAAACTGTCATCTGTAAAAAATAAATGAGTGATTTGCAAGCCTCTGACTCTTGCACGTACTCCATGTAACAAGCCATCCCGTTGGTATTTGGACAAGAGTGTTGATAGACCCTCTGTACATATCAAGAACAAGTATGGTGAAAGAGGGTCTCCTTAATGGAGACCTTCTCGTAGGAGAAATTTGTTAGTCACGTGTCCGTTAATAACCAACTTGTAGGTAACAGATATAATACAACTCATAATAATCAACCTCCATCTAGAACTGAAAACTAATATTTCTATGATGGCATTAAGACAATGCCACCCTACCCAATCATAGGCTTCACTCATGTCTAATTTAGGGGCTACCCAACCATCCATGTCCTTCCTCTTTCTATTCATGCTATGGATTAACTCATAAGCAATAATGGCATTATTAGAGATTAATCAGCCTGGAACAAATGCACTTTGATGTTCTATAATATAGACAGAAAGTGCATGTGTTATCCTATTAGCTAGGGTCTTGGCAATGATTTTATAGAGAACATTAAAAAGACTTATAGGAAGATATTGAGACATTCTCTTAGGGTTGCTGCTTTCAGGGATGAGTATAATGTGGGCATCATTGATATCATTCAAACAACCATTCCTATTGAGAACATGTAAGCAAAATGCAATAACATCCGATCCTACAATATGCCAAAATTTCTAGTAAAAGATGGCAGACATACCATCCGGTCCAGGAGCTTTATTCGGATGTATCATTTAACTACTTCATAGACTTCTTTGACTGTGAACTCTGAAAGGAGTTATTATTCATCTCATTTGTGATGCAAGGGGAGATTGTTTCCAGGATTTGATCAGTGACGGGTGATCCTTGTGATTAAACAAATTGTTAAAATAATTTACTGCTTGTTCTGCCACCTTTAATTCATCTTCATGCCAGACCCTATCATCATCCTCCACGCTTTAAATTCTGTTTATTCTTCTCCTTTTTGACGTTTGGCGTGAAAAAATCTTACATTACCATCCCAATCCTTAAGCCAACTAACCCGGACTCTCTACTTCCAAAACAATTTCTTTTGTCCTCATTCACGGTTTAGGCACGATTTTAGCTCCTTTTCTTTTGCCAGGTTGTCCTTATTCACCGCCTGTTATTGCACCTCATAAAGGTCATTTTTTTAGTTTTTCTATTTTGTTCCTCGTACCAAAAAATTTTCCGCTAGCCATATACACAATCTGTGACGTGTCTCTTGTAACTTTGCCTTCACATCTTTATATATTCCATCTACCCAACATGTTTCCACTATATATTTGCTTTTGCCTTCAGAGGCCTACATGGCTTCAAAGCTTTTCTTCTTTCTTTTAAGTAACCCACACCTTTCTATTTGGCCCTTTTAATATCAACCATGATTGGACAATGGTTCAAGACTGAGTAAGCCAAGTGTTTTACCAGAAAATTTGGAAACTCCACCTCCATGCTTTGTTTGCTACAGCTCTATCTAGCCTTTCTCCTATACTATTAGCCACATTCCTACCTCTCCCCTATGTAAACTGAGGTCCTACAAAGCCCACATTATGAAGTTTTGTTTCTTCCAAGATTGATCAAAATGCCTCTATTTGCCACGCCGGCCTTACACTCTTGCCCTTATTTTCGTTGTCTCACATTATCTCGTTAAAGTCACCGAGACAAAGCCAAGCATAATCACTACCCCTAACCAATCTGCATAACATCTCCCAAGCAACATGCCTTTCCCTTGTTAATGGTTCTCCATAGAAGCTCGTGATCCTCCATGTTTTCTTTGTTGAGTCCTTAACCCCCATATTAATATGATATTTTGAAAAGCTCCACAACTTCAGCGTTACTTCCTCCTTCCAGAGTAATGCTAGACCTCCGCTTCTACCATTTGCTTCGATCACAATCATACCTTCAAACTGACACAGCCTCCTTATTCAGTCAATTTTTGTTTTATTAAAGATAGTTTTCGATAGAAATACCACCTCAGGATCATCCCTCTTCAAAATGTTCTGAAGAGTTCGGATTGTACATGGCTTCCCAAGCCCACGGCAGTTCCAAGCTAAGTATTTCATTGATCTTAACAGGACTAGGATACCAGTCTTCGCCGTTTCCACAAATTTGTTCCCCTTATCATTTTTCTCATCCTATTTACTCCTCTTCCCTATGGTATCCATGTCCATTGTTGCTGTCTTGTCGATTCCCAATTTTCTTTTCCCCATGTTCACTTTTACAGATTTCGTTCCCTCCTTTGCAACCCTGGCTAATTTCTTCCATTTTTGATGTGATTGCATCCCTGGGTTAATTAACTATCCCAAGTCTCTTTTAACTTGCTCTTGGCTAATGAACCTATCATTTACCAACCCTTCTAACCCAGCCAGCTTTATTTTTTTCCTTGGTTCTATCTATTTGATCCATCATGCTATTGAAAATCGTCTTGCATGAGACCATGTGATTACTCTTAATATTTTGCTTATCATTTGGACCTTTTAACGCGGGCTTCATCATAATATTATTTTACGCAATATGTTGGGCCTTGATCCATCACCCCCTAATCGATGAACCCTATGACCGTCAGTTTAGAAATTTGACAATCCCTGCATTTTCACGCTAGAATTATGGGATTGTTCTTCCTTTTGTAATCGAATCATTATCCCTGTATCTTCAATATCCTGATTTAACAAATCTCGATTTTCATGCACGTAACTGCTATATTGATTTATCACTAGATTCAGCTTCTGAACAACTCCCTATCTGGCCACCGACATTAGTTGCTCGTTGTTATGACAGATTCCCTTCCCTTTGCCGTGCATTCCAATCCCTACATTTCCCTTCTCCCATGGCATAGGTTTGTTTTAAGTGGTGAGGCTCGAAGCCATCCCCCGTATTACTTTATTGGTGACGACTGAAATTGTTCCCTTTTCCCATTGCCACATTCGTCCTCAATATGCCCTAATCTTCTACAAACATAACAGAAGCTAGGTAACCGCTTGTAGCTTAATCTACCCCATATCTCCTTTACCTCAACTCCTGTGGTGAGTAACACAAGTACACAACCCTCCTTAATGGTCTTGTTATATCTACCTCAACTAACATAGAAACCAAGCCTTGCCTCTTGTTTCAGGGGTTGCATCAATTGATTTAAGGT